ACTGCAGAACTAGCAGTCAGCTGAAGTAGCCTGCAGTACTGCACTCTAACCACTGCGCCACCTCGGCTCTATAGGAAGACTGCTATCATGTCATCCCCAATCCTTCCTTTCATTAAACTAGACATGCCCAGTTCCTGCAACCGTTCATCATAGGCTTCAGCCTCCGGCCCCCTAATCATCTTTCTTGCTCTTCTCTGCACACTCTTGAAAAGCTACCTCAGCTGATTACAGCAGAAATACACCGAAAAGTGTCTCAACATCATTTCTGTGTCATGGTGATCAGTACTAGACCAAGTATTGTCTTAAATATTTATTTATGAAACTTTGTAAATCAAGCAAACAATCTTCCCTGTGTGGTGTTCCAGTCATGGAACTTTGCTTTGCTTGAAGGTCCTTTTCTGTGTCTTCAGAGTATCCTGGACTTTGTCTTCCCTTTCCTTTGCTGCCACAATCTCTGAGGGTTTTATTTATGCTCACTTCACTGGATGAAAGAAAGCTAGCTGCGAAGAAGAATTGCTTTCAGGTACATAATTCTGCTGACTCTCCTTTGGTTTCCAGGGATAAATAAGCTGCTTCAATTGGTTACAGCACCGAGCCAATCTTTTTTGGGCTTTAAAAAGCTAAGCGGAGCTTGGATGATGTTTGGATGGGATTCCTCTTCAAAATTCCAAGGTCATTGGTGAGGTTGGGTAGTTAAAAGAAGCCTGAAAGACACTGCAAACTACTTCCACGCTCCTGCCAAGAGAACTGCACAGATGTGCCCGTATGCTCATCAGGACTTATCCTTGACTTAAAAGAGACCTTTTAAAGGTTATCCTCAGCATAATTGTAAGCCGTAATTAGTTTAGGCTGCCTTCTCTCCACGTAAACTACCTGCCTATTGTGGTAATCTCTGGAGGCTCTTTTATGCGTATCCAAGCCTGTGTGATACGTCTAGTTGGAATAACAGAAAAGGCTGTTTCAATGGGATGCAAAACTGGAGGCAGGGGAACATGTGTTTCCAGAAGTTAATAAACTACAAGATTCAGATGTTCTTAGCAGTAGCAATAGCAGTTAGACTTATATACCGCTTCATAGGGCTTTCAGCCCTCTCTAAGTGGTTTACAGAGTCAGCATATTGCCCCCACAGTCNTATATATATATATATATATATATATATATATATTTCCAACATTGCAATAAACTTGTTACTTACACTTTCTCTTGTAGATGTGGTCATGAAGCCAACTTGCATCTGTCTGCATTGAGACAGATATTTCTAAGGGTCTCTCAGGCATATCAGCAATCGTGTCCAATATTTCCCTTTCAGCAGATATAAGAAATGATGCAATCAAATTATCTTCAAATAAACTCCAATACATCATGCCCCAAAATTATATTTGTTGCCCACTGCTTTTAAACAATAGAAAAGCAAAATATTGGAGGCAATTTACTAACAGATAAGGTAGCATTCTATGCGAAGATCCAGTATAACTCTTAATACTTAGTGGGCTAAAATAGAAACTTTCTTATTTTGAGAGATATTTATCTGATCACAATTAATCTTATTTGTTACTGAATTCTTCCAAGAAACAAGTTGATAAACATATCAAAGGAGGAGAAAGAGGAGAAAGAAAAGAAATACATCAATCATGAAAAATTAATTCAGCGGCAAGCACAAAACTGTAGCCATAGATAAGTTTAAAAGATAAAAAAACCAACTAGAATGTATTTCCGTCAATCAGAAAGCAGTGACACTCACAGTAAGCCACAATGATGCCACATGCACAATTGTATCATCAGAGAAATACCGCCATTATCTACTGAGTCCCGAAGTCTGATTCAAGTATGTTGTGGAATTTGAGACACAAGGTCAATAGTGGCTAAGACACTGAGTTTAATGATCAGAAATGTCGGCATTTTGGTGGTTCAAATCCCTAGTATAGGTCTCCTGTGTGAGCAGGGGGTTGGAGTAGATGACCTCCAAGGTTCCTTCTAGCTCTGTTACTGTTAATTTAATTTAATATGCTAATGTTGCATTTTATTCTCCTGTCCCCAGCAGGTGCCCATGTGTATACATCATTAGACCTACACAATGTAGTCCAGCATTTCACAAACTGACAGATACCTTGGATTCCTATGAAACCTGTTAGCTGCCTGGCTGAAAAAGAGACTATAATTACACTCATTGTTTAAAACACAATTTAGAAGGAACATACGTTATTTCCAACCTTTTCCAACCATCATTTGGAAGAGAAGAATGTACAGAGACAACATGAAAGCATGGAACATTGTTACTTAATAGTGACATGATCTCACTTTATTTTGGACTGCTACTCATCTTAAATACTCACCTTCTGATTTCACTTTCTCTCCGAACTCCTCCCAATATACTCGGAAAGCTCTTTGTTTTTCCTGTTCATAAAACAATTGCATCATTCACATGGAAACCAAATTTTGATCTGTACTGGCTATGAAAAGTTTAAATATAAATACCTTCCTATAGATCATTTATTTTGAGATAGTTTTAATGGCTTCTAGCCCATCTCTATGTCTTGAATATACTGTGACCACCCAGACCTTTCTGTCTTGGCAGAAAAGTGAACTAAATATCTGAAGATGACCAACAGATTATCTCTGGCTCAGACTCCAAACTTTCAGGTCGTCAGCAGATGTGGCAATGATCCTGGAAAGGTTGTGCCTGAGATTTTCAGACAATGCTTTGGCCTAAAGCAAACTCAAGGCCCAGGGGCCAGATCTGGCCCATGGGGTGCTTGGATCTGGTCCACGCGGCTGCCCTGGAAACAGCAAAGGACTGGGCCGTGGTGCCTCTGCCGGTGAAAGCTCAATTTTCACTGGCAAAGGGTTGCAGTAAGCCATCACAGCTGAAAACGGAGTTTGGAAGCCTGTTTTCTCTGGCAGAGCACTCAGGCCACTACAGGCGCCCCCAACATGAGCGGCATCGAGCTGACCACACCCACCCTGGCCCACTAAGGTCAAACACAACCCTGATTCGGTCCTCAATGAAATTGTGTTTGCCATCCTTGGTGTAAGGAGTTCAGCTTGTTTCTATGGGAATTAAGTGGGAATGGGACAAGAATAATAACAGCTGCTCTTAGAGCCAGCTAGTAATATTTCATCCTTAATATCCTCACTGCAAAACAAACAAACAATGGGCCTAAATTACAGAACCAATGTTTGGTCAGTTTGCTGTTGAATTTCAGTAGGGCTAAGGGTGGGGCACCTTATGGGTTTTATCTTTGTTTTTTTGTGTTTTATATTTTTATACTGTTTTTCATTTGTTGTTTATTTGACACTGTATGATATCCAGTGCCTTTAAGGATTAGGGTGAGGCATACATTCTGTAAAATCAATCAGTAATCCAATTAAACTGAGGTATTTTGGCAGTAGTTTGCTCTCCAAGCTTGTTTCAATTTAGTTTCTAAATGTTTCATAACCAGACTAGGTAAATCAGCAGCAGGGTTTTCTTGCCTTATTCCTCTTTAGCTAGGACAAGAAAATCCTGCTGCTGATGTTACCTAGTCTGGTAACAAAATGTTCAGGAACTAAATTGAAACAAGCTGGGAGAACAAACTACTGCCAAAATCTAAAGCCCAAGCTACAAGAATTTTCCTTTATTTCAAACTGAGATATTTAATGGAAAACTATGAATCAAGAAAACTATCATCAAACTATAGCATCCACTGTCAGCTCATGAACCAACTCTTAGCTTCATCTGCAACACTCATGATAACAACCTGTGTTATAGTTTTGTTGCATTGAAATAGTATGTATAATTTACATTAAGTCTTTAAAGCATTATAACATGTTTACTATTGTTGTAGCTAGATCAAAATTGAGACCAACAAATTAAATATGACTAATTCCATTGATTTTGAAAAGATCCTATGCCAAGTATAATAGCACCTAGAACCAATCTGGGCTTCTGTTGTTTTAATGAAATCTATCCTCCCTCTTCCTTCTCAGATGTTTCAAATGGAATCGGATTTGACTCGACTGTTTATTATAGCTGTCTTCCCCTCCCTCTTGCAAGACAAATAGGGTCTGTCAAAAATTCCTACAAGCACTGTATTGAATGAAGAACTTGATTGCACATAGTTTAGTCTGAATCCATATAAACAGAAAACAGATAAATCTATTCTAACATAACTCTGCTAAATTTCATTTTAATGCCATCATTTTGATACTCATTTGGCTAAGAGTTACTCCAACTATACTTTTTCTTTGCATACTGTCACGTTAATATGAGAATCCAGCATCAATAAGGAATTACATTGGTGGTGGTGTTTAGAATGCAGTATTGCAGGTTAACTCTGCCCACTGCCGGCAGTTTGATCCTGATTGTCTCAAAGTTGACCCATCCTTCCATCCTTTTGAGATCTGTAAAATAAGGACCCATATTGTTGGGAGCAATATGTTGACTCTGTAAGCCACTTAAGACAGTGCTGTAAAACACTATGAAGCTGTATATAAGTCTAAGTGCTAGTGCTTTTATTACTGTAGTTCTTCCTAAGGTCAACAATAATAGTCTTGACCATTAAATGTGATACAGATATATTTTATTTGCATTTCTGCCACATAGTCCAAAATTTATTGCATTATATAGGAATGAATACAACTGCTGAAGAGCTTATATTGCCAAATTAACATAATAATATAGGGCAAATTTCTATAAATATTATAGTCAGCAAGTGTGATGACTACCTAATTTTGGGACCTATAAGTGATGATCTTCCTGAAGGTTCAAATGCATTGGAATTAGAGCACTTTGGTAATGCTGGCTGAAAATTTTGGAAACTACAATCCCACGACATCTGGAGAACATTAGATTGGAGCAGAAAGATTCATGCAACTGCACTTAAAATGTTTCTTTATGACCAGTGTGATGGCTTTGAAATTCCTTATTCTCTGCCTTCTTAACTTATTGAATTTCTATAAGGAAATTGAGACAAAGTACCTGTGCTTGAGGTTGATGTCTCTGTGGCACTTGGGGAAGGCAACTCATTTTTTATCTCTGAAGAACCTCTATCTGATCTCATATCTGGACTACCATTAATTTCTCCTATTACGATTTCTTTAGAAGACCTACAAGAAACAGAATGATAGTATATGAATTATTGAAGGCAAAATAAGCAACTGATTACTCCTGGAACCCAAGAAATTAGATTAGCAACTGTGCATTTCCACCATATTGACTCTTTTGATATATATATAAACAAAGTTGAGGACTTTTAGCCATAATGAGGGAAGCTAGAACTAATATTTTAATTGCTATTTATGGAATTGGTGCATGGATCTGGTAGAAGGATGATTTGTAAGGACTGAGTAGGAGAGGTGTAATGAATGGTATTGGGTAAATGATCTTAGCTATTACTTCTATTCATTTTTCTTATATTTATAACTTTTTTCCCTTACTATTTCGAACCCTTTTGCTGTACTTACTTATGGGAATGCCTAAACTGTATGTAGTTCCATATAAATCCTGATATAGATCTATTGGCTTCAGATTTTATTCCATTCAATAGAATTTGAGGGAAATTCAAACCACTAGCAATCATAGGTTCCTATTCTTAACTACGAGGTTAAAATAGCAAAAAAGAATTTCTTAATTTTATTCAGATTAATTTAAAATGTTCCACCTGGCTAGAGATCAAGAGCCACTGTTTGGATAGATAAATAATAAAAATGGAAATATGTTACACAAGAAAAAAATTATCATTTCTGCATGCTAATATTCATTAAGTAATTGTATGAAGTTATAGCCACCCTGAAAAAAATGACTTACGGTCATGTTTCACACTTAATGACCTGTGCAGCATCCCCATAGTCATATGATCAAAATTCAGGTGCTTGGCAACTGGTTTATATTTATTATGATTTCAGTGTCTCCAGGCCGTATGATCATCTTTTGTGACATTCATTCGATTACCTCCCATAGACCGATCAGATCTCACAGGTTAGGTCTCCTCCGGATTCCATCNCCCAGGCTCCTATAAAGCCTCTGGAGACTGGGGAGGGCAGAAAAAGCATGCAAAAAATGGAGGAAGCGCTTCTCACTGGGGGAGTCAGGCGTTGCATTATGGGTGTGGCATGCCCATGCATGAGCCCCCTGTATTCCTCCCCCCCACTTATGACACACGAGCCAAAAAAGGTTTGCCATCGTTGTCCTAGAATAGGGTTAAAACATCAAGAATTTTTGATATGTTGATGATACAACTCCTCTCTCAGAAATCAAAGAAGGCCTGGAACATTTGATCAAGGAAATCAAAGAAGAAAATAAGAATTTTGGTCCGAACAGCAAAAGACCAAACTCACTTGCAAGGAAGGGAAACATCAAAATAGTAATTTGACAGTGAAGAGATAGAACACATGTGGAAACATTCACTTTGCAAGAATCACAGATAACTCAAAGGGGTGTATGCAGCACAGAAATAAAATGTTGAATTGCACTGGGTCACACAGCAATGATGAACATAACCCAAATATGGAAAAGAAAGAACATCAGCCTAGAAACCAAGTGCAAGTTAGTCTGCTCTAATGTGTTCCCCATAGACACCTATGGTTGTAAAAATGGGACCTTAAATACAGCAAGACAAGAAGAAAAAGCACTTGTATGAACTGTAGTTCTAGAGAAGCTCCTGCATATTCCTTGGGCAGCAAAAGTAACCAGCAAGGAAGTACTGGAGCACATAACACCAGACATGTCACTAGAAGGCAAAATCATGAAACCGCATCTCACTTACCTTAGTCATGTCAAAGCAATTATGCTAGCACGAGTTAGTGGTAAAAGGAAACTAGGACATCAAAGAACACGGTGGCTGGACATGATCAAGGCTGACACTAGCCACAACATAGAAAAACTCAAAGTAGTGCAAAATCGGAAGATGTCAAAAGATACGGCTAGAAGATAGAATCATCAAGAGTTGGACATCCCTAAATAGATATCATCCATTTATCATCCATCTCCATCCAGATGGAGAGGTTGAGGGTTGCTGGGGATGGATATCCCATAGACCAGTGTTAGATTTCACCCACTGATAGAGGTTTCCATCAAGGTCCTCTCTTCCTGCAGGAACAGAGGTCAAATCCCATTGGTCAAGAGGTCTGACAGATCCCTTTATAAGGGGATGCTGTCCGACCTGTCTTCAGCGGGATGTTTACTTGACTTGCAATAAAGAGCTGTTGTTACTGGAGCCTTTGTGTGCCTTCCTTTACCGGATCCAACAGCCAGTTAGTCCAATATCCTTGGTAGGGAAAATAGATGCTGGTCTGGCTGGCTCAGGAATTCTGGGAGTTGAAGTCCACAAGTCATCAAAGGACCATAGTTCCACATCTCTGTTCTAAATGTTAGCCGCCACCAACTATCAGCTCTTTTTCTACCATTTGAGGGGAGGGGGGGTCTGTGAGAGGCAGCCTGTTCTCAAGCTCAAACCTCTTCGTTCATGCATGCTCTTTCATCTCCTGCAGGCGTCTCCTGTTTCATCTCCTGTTCCTCTTAGTTGGTTTCTGCAACCATAAGGACTGACATTTGCACACATACTAGCGAATTGCTTCACTTACGTTAAAGAAAATGATTAATTTTCAAAGACCCCCCCCCTCCTCTTTCATAAGTTCACTGTCTCTGATGCAGGACTGAAGGTCAAACCCTGTGCCCGGTTTTCCTTGAGTTGGTAATTGTGAAGTAGGCCTGCAAGGGCACCAAATAGGAAAGAAAAACCCACCACGCAGTCAGTTAGATCAGAGGGAGGCCGTAGCTCGATTCATGGGGAGGAAAACCGGCAGATTTATCGCGGCTTGTTTAATCACGACTGATTTAAGTCGGCTGGCAGACGTAATCAGCGGGGAAAAGCTGTGATCTGCTTTTCCCCGTGCCCTCCCTCAGACACTCCTGTACAATTTCAGCCTTCATTCTGAATAAATTCCGAATAAATAAGGCGGGATGAGTCAGAGGAGCTGGGGGGGAGGGGGAGGCAAAGTAGGGACGGGTGAGTAGTTTGCAGTTTAAAAACAAGGGGAGCATTGCGCTCCCCCCTTTCAGGTGATCTCTAACCCATTAAAAGAAAACCCTACACAGGGCAGGAAACTCCCGCCTCCTACACGACGGTGGTAGTCGACTGTCCCGGCCGGGATACGAAGAGAAGTGGGCGCCGGGGAGGGGCTAGGAGGGAAGGGGGCGTGCAGGGGACGGGAAACTGCTGAGGTCCCCGCCTCTCTTCGGGTTTTCCTCTGGTGCAGCTCGACGGCTGCCGCTTCTCTCCGATCCTCTGGCAGGTAGGGCGTGCGCTTGCTTTCTTCTCTTCCCAATTGGGTGCTCCTCGGTTTCTCCCCGTTCCCTGCCGGGTTTTTTTTTTTCCCCCTCTGGGAGAGGCTTGGTTTTCTCTTTCCTTTCGGGGACTCCCAAGAAGCACGTTGCGGTTCCCCAGCCGCCGCGCTTTTAGGGTAGGTTGCGATTCTGAAAGTGCGCCGAGGGAGACCAATCGCCTTCGGAGTGTGGAGAAACTTTGCCCGGGGTCCAAGTGCAACGAGTTACTTCGCTTTAAAAAAGAAAAAGAAATAGGGGACTTGCGGTGGTTCCTCCCCCTTCCGATATTGAAAAGTAACTTGCATGCTTGTTTTCTCGATTTAGGAGAATATAACTCAGAGGAAATCCCTCTCTCCCAAATTTATCTTCTTTTTAGGTCTAGTATCTACAACCGTTTTACTTATTGGGGGGGGGGGATACTACGAACTGACGGGATGTATTGATACGGCCTTTGTAAACGTTGTTTTATTAACAAGAGGAAAAAACGGTAAAGCGAGTCCTTAATAAAAGCCTACCTCGAAGTCCATTTTACTGCCCGAAGTTTCCTCGGAAGGAAATAAAAAGAAGAGAGAGAGAGAATTGGTAGCGCGCAAAACTCCGAAGTGGCTGGGAAGCCGTCTCCATCTCACTTTCTTTTCCTTCTCCGCCCTTGGGCTGGAGGGGGGGAGGAGAAGCGCCATTTATCAACATTGAGGACAGGTGGCTCTTTCGAAAGAGCGAGCGAGGCCTTGGCTCCAAAAGTGGTGGTTGCTGGGCATTTTCCACCTCGCATGTGGAGAAATACAGTCGGGTGGAAAATCACTGTCTTAACTGTAACCTTCAGCAGAAAGGGAGCAGAATGGGAGTTTTATAACTGGGAGGAAGCAACGTTGCAGCCCACTCGGTTGAAGAGGGCTTAATTAAAAAAAGTCGTTCCCTAGCACTCTTGAAAGGCTAACAAATGTAATCCAGGGACCAAAGTGAACTTTCTCAGATGCACAAAAGGATGCTTTGCGTTATCCAGGACAATTGTGAAGGAGCCAATTGCACAAGGGCAGAAACAAAATGCAAAGGTGTCATTGTGAGATGCTCATCTGGAGTTTCAATAGATGGGAGACTAAGTTCATAAAGCAGCAGTGCAAACTTCCTGTTGGTGGTAATCTGACTATCAGCTCTGGCAGGTTTCAGAGTTTCATTTTTAGACCAGTATATCCTTTGTAAGCCTGCAGCCACCACTCAAGAAGCTCACTCCCCACCACCACCACTGCAAGCAACACTGATCTACATTGAGCCTCCTAGCTTAAAGTGAGATGTCGAGCTTTGAAACATGTAAAATTGGTAACCAGATGATCAGCAATAAGAACAATAAAGTGTTGATCTGGTAAATTGATTCTAACTAGACATAGGAGAGAGAGAGTTAATGGAGTGGCAGCAGGCAAGTACATGTTGTGGGCATCTGACTGGCAAAGCTGTGATGAGAGCACCAGCAGAGAGAAAAAAATAAGTTGCAGTGCTTGGTGCTGTGCTTGAACCAGCAGCATGGATTCAGTGTGGCCTCCATGAGTCTGAGTTTTCCTGCCTTGAGTGGAAAGGAATGCTGGTGTTGAGTCATCATCAGTATCATTTTAGACCAGGGGTAGTCAACCTTTTTATACCTACNAGAAGATTATAGGAAGCTCACTTCCTGTTATTCAGGATACTGCTTATAAGTGATATGTGCTTGGAGCTCAAAGCATTGTTAGAGACACCACATACAGGGGTGGGATTCAGCCGGTTCAGACTGGTTCACCTATATATATATTCACAATGAATATGACATGGATCTAGCACCCAGCATGTAGACCAGGGGTAGTCAACCTTTTTATACCTACCGCCCACTTTTGTATCTCTGTTAGTAGTAAAATTTTCTAACCGCCCACCGGTTCCACAGTAATGGTGATTTTATGAAAACCTAATGAAAATGTTTTTAAATAATGCTATGAATTTTTTTTTTAAAGCCAATTAAATTTTAAAAAAGGAAAGTACTTCAAAATCGGACAAAACCCCTACCGCCCACCATGAAAGCTGGAACGCCCACTAGTGGGCGGTAGGGACCAGGTTGACTACCACTGTGTTAATGATTTATCTATAGGTCATGCCAACTGATATCACACCAGATGGAGTAAGAGAATGGCCAACTTTCTGATCACCGAGTGTACCTTTATATTTTAATAGTTCCAGGAAGAAATTTGGCATCATCTTTCCCGGTGCAAAAAATAATGCTTGAGCAAAAGTAATGCTCCATGTTACAACTTTATTGGGGGGGAAAAGTGACTTACAACCAGTACTCACACTTAACAATTGTTGCAGCATCTCCACAGTCACATGATCAAAATTCAGGCGCTTGGAAACTGGCATGTATTTAACAAAGGCTGAAGCTTTGCAGAATCTTTTGATTGCTACTTCTGTAACCTTCTGAGCTGGCTTCTCATAAGGAAAGTTAATGTGGAAAGTCAGGCTCACTTAACAACTGCATGATTCATTTAATTGCTGAGATTCACCTAACAGCCATGGCAAAAAAGTGTCATAAAATTGTGTGTGACTCACTTAACGACTGTCTTGTTTAGCAATGGAAACTCTGATCTCATGATAGTCATAAATCGAGGACTATCTGTAAGCAGTGGTGGGGTTCAATTTTTTTTACTACTGGTTCTGTGGGCGTGGCTTGGTGGGCGTGGCTTGGTGGGCATGGCTTGGTGGGCGTGGCAGGGGAATGATACTGCAAAATCCCAATTCCGCCCCAACTCATGGGGAAGGATACTGTAAAATCTCCATTCCCTCCCCACTTCAGGGGAAGGATACTGTAAAATCTCCATTTCCACCCCACTCTAGGGGAAGGATACTGTAAAATCTCCATTCCCTCCCCACTCCAGGGGAAGGATACTGTAAAATCCCCATTCCCTTCCCACTCCAGGGGAAGGATACTGTAAAATCTCCATTCCCACTACATTCCAGGGGAAGGATACTGTAAAATCTCCATTCCCTTCCCACTCCAGGGGAAGGATACTGCAAAATCCCCATTCCCTTCCCACTCCAGGGGAAGGATACTGTAAAATCTCTATTCCCACTACATTCCAGGGGAAGGATACTGTAAAATCTCCATTCCCTTCCCACTCCAGGGGAAGGATACTGCAAAATCTCCATTCCCTTCCCACTGCAGGGGAAGGATACTGCAAAATCCCCATTCCCTTCCCACTCCAGGGG